CAGGTATGGAGTGTACATGTGTGTTGAGATGGTGCTACTATGTATGATAACCGACGGTGCTATATTCCATACAGGTGGAGCAGTCTGATGTGTTAAGGGATAGTGTAAGAAGGAATGACCGAGGTAAGGTGGTCAGAGTGTTATGCAATAAGTATGTGGATGACACGCCATTAATGTAAGAGTCTGGTGCCCATCGGTAACCACATTTCCGTTGTTCTTCTGAGGAAGGCCAATTCATGTATATGTTTTTACCAGTATGTTTTATAAGGAATAAATCAATTAAGACATGTTATGGTTTCACCCTTCTTTACCCTTATCGATCTGGTCAATGGAAAACCTAACCCAATGCCTAGTCCTCTGCACGCTACCTAACGAGCTACATGCTCTCCAGGGGTCTGCTGTGGCAGTTACCCTTAGAAATTAAGATTAGGTTAAGTTATCCCCAGACTTAGTGACCCCAGAATCTGGCAGTATAAATTGGTGGCTATAGCGGTGGGATGGTTTTTAATCATTGATCAAATCGAGAATTGAAGTTGTGATTTAAGTTGCAAATATAGACAAGTTTTTTTTGATGGATAATCTGATTTTTGAGTGATACTGGCAGGTGAATAACATTGATTGAGTACAGAAATAGAATTTTTGAAAATTTTTACAGTACTGAAGTCATGTGTGTCATTGATGTGTTTTGTGTTTGTGTTTTATCCAGCATTAATATGTATTAATAATTGCAGAAGTTGTGGATTAACCTTGTTGACGTTGAAAAGGAGTCCACACTGTGTCTGAGAAGTGTCTCAAGTGGTTCACCTCTGATGTTGTTAAGTGGTTCACCTATGGAATACCATAGGACTTTCGGTCTCCAGTTGATGTGAGTTTTAATTTTTGGTGCCATGTTAAGATGTTGCATAGTGTTGTATTATACCCTTGATCAATTAAGGTTGTAGTAGTACAGGAGAGTAGTTGTGTTAAGTGGTTCGTATTTGTCTTGGGTCGAGAGGTAGCACTTTTAGGTCAAAATGGCTGAGTCAGTAGAACAGGGAAGTACCATAGTTGGGGACACATTAGAAGAGAGATTGGAACGGACTTTGCAGATCAATGAGAGACAATACTTGGAGTTAGAAGAATTACAGAAACAGATTAAGGAACTAAAACAAACACTCCAGCATGCAAGGCCCAAACAATGAGCAAGAGTCAGTTGAGATGACACCACTCCACTACTCTTTGTGGGCGGAGGTCCGCCAGCTCCAAATAAGGACACTTGACTAAGTAGTGCCCCTTGAGTCCCGTAAGGTAGCGCTTTCTCCCACTCAATCTGCCTTATCTTTTACTCTACTTTGTCTTAGTTCTTAATTCAATGGTTCTTCTACTTACTTCAATGGTTACTGCATAACCTCAGTTCTTGGTAGCATGTCGAGGATCTACATGTGTATTGTAATTTGATATCAGGTCACTTGACGGAAATAATGGTGAACTACTGTTGGGAAAATGAATACCCTAAAATACTCTAAGAACAGGTTTATTAATATGAAATGAAAAGGGAAAAGAGATATTATTAACATATAACTTCAAGGTGCAACTCCTGCTTACTCAACTGCAAACTCAGTATTTTCTTATTTACTTATTTTTCAATTTTACTCCTCTGCAAGCTCCTCGATATTACACTTATTACTCACACCCTTACTGGTGTTATTTAATTACATAGCAGGACCAGTTCTTGGCCCTACTCACAATACATAGTTAAATGACAACTCTTGGCTCCTCTCAACTGCCAATCCCAGTGGGTACTTACTTCACCCACATCTTCTAGTGGTACATTTCATTACAGTTACCAGGCTTTATTCATAGTCCCAAGTGGACAATTTACTTCTCACACATTCCGAGGTACTTTCCATTACATCCAGTTATAAGACAACCTATTTTAGATACTTACAGAGTGTTGGTAGTATAGAGATGCACTCACACAACACGTTAATACTGATACCAAAAATACATGGGTCCATTACTCAACATGGGATACTTATTAACAAACACATACAACAACACTGTGGACCATATAACTCAAGGCATGTCCCAGTATAGCACTGGCGCTTCTATCAACTGACGACTGCTGTTGTGGTCGGGTTACACCGACACGAGGTGGGTCAGCCCCGCCCACGAGGTGGACCTGCCGTCTCAATCATGTTGAATAACCGACATCAATGCATATATTGATCCCTGCTGGTTACCCACCGGCTCAGCAGCCAATGGTGTTCAAATAAGCCCACCCTGGAATCTGGGGACAACGGAGAGCCGTCATGGGTGAGAAGCATGGACACACAATCATAACAAATCTTTTCTTCTTGCAACGTCAGGACATTTACTTTATATTACTACACTGAGTGAATGACAATTGCACTGTTACAACATGAACACTGATGAACACTGATATTTCACTACAATGACTGAATCAAACTGAATGGTTAGGGAACACATCAACAGTACATACCTGGGGACAAACAGGAGGACATCTCCTTTCCGCCTTCAGATATATACTCATGGTTGCACGTATCGCTATTCAAGCAATGACAGAAATCACAAAACCAACTGTTACTCATTCAAAGATGACCTCAGTTGACAAAGGTTCGTGAATTACTTGAGTTGGATACACAGACTAATTCAAGATTGAGCTGGCCAGCAGAAGTGAAAACGTATTGACAACTCGTTTGAAGGCGGGACTTACTGAGGGTTCATGAGTCTAAACGTCGATAGGGAAAAACACCTCTTCCTAGGAATAGCTAACCCACTCATG